GATGCTTGCCTCTAAAAGCATCTATAGCCGGGCATCCCAAACCTGCCTCATACGCCCAGGTAGGTCGCCCGGTCACGAATTTTTGACCCAGACGGGCGCTTTAAACAGGCCTTAAACGCTCGAGCTGACCGACACCCCTCATATCTAGTCCAAATATGAGGCGGATATGGGGCGCCCCGGTGCGTCCACCACGTAGGACCGATGATGGGGTCCGCTGGATGCCTCCTTCGTCGCCGCGGTGTGAACACCGGGTGGCGCCGCTTCAGCTCGCCGCCCGAGGCCAAATCCGGCTATTTAAGCCGGCTGGCATCCCCCAACCCTAGCCCATCCACCTCCTCCTTCTCTGCGCCGCCACCCAAGCCCGCCCGCCTCCTCTCCCCCGCTATCCCACGCTCTCTGGCATCGCCATGGTCCGGCGGCTGGTCACCATGTACGCTATGCGCACGCCGGAGCGCTGAAGGCAGACCACAAAGGCGATCCAGGCAAGGCGCGCCGCCCACATTGCTGCCGGGATGCCTCTGGACTCGACGGAGCCGGAGAAGGGGAAGGAGGAGGAGCCGGAGGAGGAGGAGGGAGATCCACTGCCGGAGCCGATGGAGGTGGCAGATCCGGAGGAGGACGAGCCGGACCAGCCTGCTCCGGGGTTCAATGTGGCGGAGGCGGAGGCGGAGTTCACCGCCGCCCAAGCTACGAAGATGGCGGAGTAGCAGGCCAGCCTGGAGTCCATCCAGAATGAGGCCTATGTGGAGACCAATCGACAGTTCCTCCTGCAGGAGTAGGCGATGGCCGACACGCTCTTTGCCAAACTCGATGCGAAGATAGGGGAGGAGGCCGGTGCGGACCAGTCGGAGGCGTCGGAGCTGCAGCTGCCGCCCATGCTGTCGGAGCCAGGCACGAAGATTGTCGACATCTTCGACGAGGAGTAACTAGATCATCTATGTAGTACGTACTTCCCGCGTTCCTAAATATAAGTTTTTTTAGAGATTTCAATAGAAATACATATGTATATAGACGTGTTTTAGAGTGTACATTCACTCATTTTGTTCCGTAAATAATCCGTAATGGAACCTCTAAAACGACTTATATTTAGGAATGGAGGGAGTAGGTTTTATTGTTTGCATGCTTTTGTGGATTTGGGAATTCAGTATGAGTTGTCCGGATGCAGTTGTGCAAATTTAAGAAGTATCCGGTCACTATCGGCGGACGTTTGAGAGGTCATATTTGTCATGTGCGCTTGTAGATGCTCTAAGCCGATACCTGCTCTACACACAGCCCTCAGCGTGCCTTTCTGATATTCCTGGTGGAGCTTTGCTACACTTGCGTAATTTTCTTACGTGAACTCCTTACGAAATCATCGTGACATCTGATGATTTGTTAGTTGGAAATCATGTGGGCAGGGCCTACAGTTAAAATCAGGGGGGCGGAGGGATTAGTGGAAGGTTTACGTAACAGGCCCGGAAGTGTACGTAGATGTAGAATTATTGTTCCTGGTGCACGACCCGAGCCCATAGACGGTAGTTTTGGTTCCGCCACGCCGCCGTATCCGTAGTCTGAGCAGTAATGACGAGAGGACGTTACCATTGCTCGTGGCCGATTTGGTTCTTAGTCCGTGGATTGAAAAAGTTTGGGATTATTTGGTCTGTGACCAGACCGAACTAAACCAAACCAATCTATATCTATATCTATTCTATCTATATCTATATCTATATCTATATCTATATCTATATCTATCTATATCTATATCTATATCTATATCTATCTATACCTACTATTAAAGGGAGTAGGTATTTTTGGTTTGGTTTCGCTTTGTTTCGTCCCGTTAGTTTTTTTTTTTATTTCGTCCCGCCTCGACGAATTTTATTATCCGAGGTGGTACTATTTTTTGACGCTGCGCAAGCTTGCTCACGTTTTTCTTTCTGGGTTGAATGATCGCTTGGCTGGGCCAGTGTATGCGATCGAAGCCCATCTATGCAAAAAACAAATACGAGCGTCCATCAATTTATGGGCTGCGAGTGGGCTCCTGAAAATCAAGTAAAAAATGAGTGGGCTTCATAGTATTATCAAGTAAAATATAGATTGCACTGCGGAGAATCGAACACAACACCTCTCATATCAATAGAACCCACGGTAACCAACTCAACGTTTGTGATTAATCCCACTTCAAGGGTTTATATTGAATCACCCTGATATACGTTCCCTAATTGCTTGGAAGGCACTGAAAGGAATTGGCCCTGAGATTCTGTGGCTGCCATGCAAACAAAGAGAAATATTTCGGGGCATTAATTGCCGGCGAGGAGTCCCCTTGATTAAAGGGAGGGATCATGATGGGGCTGGATTTGTGTGTCCTTTAAAGGATGCGGGATTTGTGGGCTGCTAATGCACCCATAATTAACGGTTAACAGTTGCACAATTAAGGAAGGATTGCTGCAAGCCGACCCCTGTTATTAGGAAGAAAAGAAAGGAATTTAAAAGAAGAAATATGAAGTATGAATTATTTCGGGCAGTGTGAATGTCAAGTTAACAATTATTGATCTGTAGCCAATGGGAACCAACGTTTTGCATGTTTTTTAACACTTCACAAAAATTCAAGAAAATATTTGTAAAATGGTGCGTTAAATTGTGATCAAACCGTTGTCCTTGAGCTCATGGACTCTAAAGGACCAATAACCAACTAGGCCATAAATATTTTGTGATTTTTTAATGGATTACATCCAATATTATGCGTACTCATTTGATCTAAGGTTAATTTTGAATAACTTAAATATTATTTTTTTGTCATGAATGAACCGATGAGCCGGCGGTACAACCGGTGAGTCGCTCGTTCGTTTTTTAAACTATGATTAGATGGCCATGGCGAAAGAGCACGCCATAGTTCGCTGCTGGAAACATACCCAAGTTCATGCTAGAGATGAAGAAGTAGGACAGTGTCGACAGTGAAGTGTATGCAGTTTGTGTTGACTCAAGTAATTGATGTCCTCCTGACTTAACTTAATTTGCATTAATAAATATTATTGTGTGCGCTAAGAAGGAAATGCATCGGCTGATTTGTTAAGACATTTGTGTTGAAGCACGTGAAGATGTATGTGACCTGCAAGGAACTACAAGCCAGTGTAGGGAGAGGTTTCTGAAATCGGCATGGTGGAGTGTGATGACCAAGCTCGCCGCCTTGGGATTGATGACATTTGTTGTAATAGGTGGGCAAGTAACCACCATCATGATGGCATGGGAGAAATGGCAACGAAGATAACTCGTTAGATCTGTGCGTGAGTTTGTTTCTCCCGTTGCAACGCACGGGCATTTGTGCTAGTTTATACCTATATACCTACTATTAAAGAGAATAAGTATTCTTCGTTTTGTTTGATCCATAGTAATATTTTTACATAGCCCAAATTTTCGTCCGTCATTTTATATAGGCTTTTTTTGTATGTCAAAGCGTATAGAAGCCGAACTACATGCGAACACAACATATACATGGTCTTCGGGTTGTAATTTTAGTGGGCTTAGAAGATTCTGTCTGGTTCATGGTTTTGGAAACCCGCATATCCACATATGCATGTATCCCTAAAAAATCCACATATGCATATATCGAGCCAGAAAACCATACGTTGCACAATTCAATCCGGACTACGAGTCCTTATCTACAGCTGGTTTGAGCCGAGGCGCCTACACATGCATCGATGCACTTTAACTCGAACAACCCGTACATGCATCGAGCCCGAAACCCTAGATCAACGTAAGTCTCGCCGCCACCCTACCTTCCGGACGCGGCAACACCGTTCATGGACGATGAGCTCCCTCACAGCAACTGGTTCGGCTGCAATGCGTCCCCGGCGCCAACGTCCCCGAGCAGCTCTTTAGCTTGCAGCGTCACAGAAAAAGAGCACAATGCAAAGAAGATAAATGGATGACAAGACTCAAGGAGTGGTGGCAGATAAAGATGAAATAGTGTCGCCGAAGCTGCTGCAACCCTAACCTGCTGCTGGTCCGAAGGCCATGCTGTCAGCTCAAGCGCGTCCATGTCGATCGGCAAGATCACGCTCAGAAAGAAATGTTTGACACATCATGATACGACAAAGCTAGCACTCCGTGCTCAATCGTCTAGCATCGACTTTCGCGACGGCGCGGCTGCCTCGCAGCATCTGCTTGCACACTATAGCGTTTAGAAGATGCCCTGCACTAAGAAATTTCTGTCCAAACACATGAACAGACATTTTAAATAGGGCGCTATAGTGATTAGAAGTGGTCCGCCGCTAATATCTTAGCGCGCTATTTGAAACTATGGAGGATACCCAGCTGCTCGGCCACGACGGGAACTTGGCAATGGCCACATCAACCAGGAGACTCCATCTAACCATGCATTGTCATGCGAGGGTTTAGTTCTCCCGCTGCAACGCACGGGCATTTGTGCTAGTAATAAGAAAAGCTCAAATCAAACCAACTTACATTAGGAACTCAGCCCATTTTAACCAAACCAAAAGAGTCCTAGGAAAACTGATCCAAAATTGAAGTTTGAGTCCCTACCTGCCCGTCGTCACGAAAGAAGTTGTACAGGAGAAGCCTCCCTCCGTCCCGTCTCGTCGCTCCTCAGTCCCTCCCTCCGGCGTCCGCTACTTTTTGACCCGCTCTGGATCTCGCCATTAGGGCATGTACAATGGTTGGTAAGATAGTCTTATCTTAAAACTTGTGTGTGATTTAGAGATGGCAAAAAAATTTGTCTACAATGGGTCATCTCTTAGCCTTATCTTCAATAACTAGCAATTTCTAAAAATGTGGTGAGACATATTGTGCTAAGAGATCACCTCTTGTCTTCTCTTAAATAAGAGAAGACAAGCCTTTTCTTATGAGTTCTCTCTCCTCCACCTCATCAGCTATCCTACGTGGCACTCCTAAGATGGCACCATTGTACATGCCCATACTACCGGGTATCACTCAGCAAACAACCAAGCGAATAAAAGCCACCGACGAGACCTGGGCGAGCGAGCAGCGGCAGCGAGGGGAAGATGAAGGTCGCCGCCCCCAACGCCACGGTCGACCTGGAGGAAGATGAATGCACCGTCTGTTGCGCCCCCCTCCGGCCACCGGTCTTCCAGGTCACCCCTTCACTCCCCTTTAATCCAAGATCCGCCCTTGCTCCCTCGAGCAACCTTCAATCCACTAAGCTGTCTCGTTTGATCTAATCTGCCGTTGCGCCGCGTCCGATGGGTGGCTTCAACATGAAGGGGGGAATGGGTGGGGGAGCGGGCTTTCGCGTTGTAATGTTAGGGTTTGCTCCGCCGTCGCTCTCGTTCATAGTTTGAGCCAGACAAAATCGCACTAGTAATTCAGTCATTTTATCAAGGTCTTGGGAGGCCCAAGTTCTTCCATTTCAGCAACTTATCCCCAACTGAACAAATGTACTCTCTTCTTGCTGTTCACTGGGAACAGGAAACATGGTGTAACTTGGTATTGCGTTGATTAATATTTCTTCCTCGCTTGCTGAGAAAAGCTTATATTTCCAGATCTGCAGCCACCATATTTCCCATTCCTAGCTTCAGATGAATGATGAAGTATTCAAAAATTCCTTCACAACCTCTTCATGACTCTGTTCTGCATTGTCTCTAAACATCATGTATGATTTTTCTTTGCTTAGAGTTTGCACTGGGTAGTTTCTGGCAGATCTTTAAAATGCCTCCTATCAAAAAAAGAATCTCCCAGTCCCAACCATGCATCCTTCTTAAATAATTTTCAAGTTAATGAATCCCTGTACAATGTTTTCAAGATTTTTTGGAAAAGGGTAATGTTTCCAAGTTACTCCATCAATTGTAATTTTCAGTAACTGGACCAAATTTACATGGTTTATGTCTTCACTTTTCAGCATACTCAGCATTCAGTTTCTTAAATAATGAGGTTCTCAGACCATGCATGGCACATTTCCTTTGTTATATACAGTGTGCAGCTGGTCGTCTTCTTTGTTTGACCTGCTATGAGGAGCTCCTCCAGAAGGATACACTTGTTATCCCAAAGGCTTCTCCATCCACCAGCATCATCATCACTATCAACTGTTGTGAGAGCAAGAAGAAAATCTGTGATGACAAGAGCCCAACGGTATGGCGTAACCAGCATAGAAAAATTATGATACTTCCAATCTGGCTACCTCCCAATGTAAATAGCATATGTGCTAAAGGCACCTCCTGGCTTTGTTTCTCAAATGCAGGGATCAGTTCTGAAGATGGACCCTTGTGGCGGCGGCTTTGGTGACGTCTGGGAGATGGACGTGCGCGGCATCGACCGTATTGTCAAGTTGATCCTGTGGCACTGTGGCGCGGTCGATGCCATCTCAGTGGTGTATGAGCGGGATGGCCAGGAAGAGCAGACTAGGCAGTGGGGAAAAGCTGAAGGAGAACGGTCAGAGGTAATACCTACACTATCACATTTTCACTGAGAGAAACTAATACTATCGTTGGTATGTTTGTGGATTGTGCAGATCTGTCTGGAGTCGGACGAGTATCTCACATGCGTAAAAGGTCGGTTAGGCAATTATGGTGGGTGTTTCCTTGTGCGAACAGTCACTTTTGTCAGCAACCGGCGCACCTTCGGGCCATATGGTATGGATGAAGGTGCGCCGTTCGAGCTCCCGGCAGCTGGCGGCAGAATCATTGGATTCCACAGCCGCTCCGGGGGGCTCCTCAACGCTCTTGGCACCTACGTCAAGATGGACTAACTAGCTATCAGGACTCACCATGCTATGTAATGTTTCATCTAGGTAGATGCTTGTGCTGACTCTGTTATGTTATGAGTTTCTTTTGCTTATGTCAGTTGATGAACGACAGTCGGTAGAGTGACTGCTAAACTTTAAACTAGATGCTTCAGTCCTGGTGCTGGTCTTCTCATTTTAGTCCAATGGATGTGGTGTGCACAGGTAGAGTATGTAATCCTGGTGATGGTCTACTGTTAAAGCCCAAATCTGGAACAGACTCTGTTTTGCTAGTATTTCAGTACACTTACTGCGACATGTTAGTCCTTTTCCTGGGCTTGGAACCGGCTATGCAACAAAAGTGTTACACTTGTTGTGACATATAGGTGGAGTTACCTATCTACCAAATAAAAAGAACCACAAGACATAAAAATATGCACATTTACAAATAAACAAAGAGAGGGTTTAAGCGGAAATCCATTTTGGCTCTAGGGAGCACATGCTCCTGTATGCCAAAAATGGATTTTACAAATGTCATTTAAAAAAAATTATATATGTTCATTGTCACACCCAAATGTACATACAAATTTTCAGGGGAAAATAAGTTCTTTACCCTCTTTTTTCTTATTTGTGATTTGTCAGATTTTTGGATTTTCCACTTATTTTCAAAAATAATATTCATCCTTCTATTTTTGGATTATTTTTATGTTTTGTGCAAGTGAATTATTTTCCTTCCAGAGATATATTATCTAGTCTTTCGCACCAATGCTACTTAATAAAGTGCAAGCCCTTTGCAATTACCAACCTGCAAACTAAACAAGCCACACAATAAACAAACATTTTAAAAAAATTAACCTTGCCATGATAACACTCGTGTCCCATGGATATTTATTCACGGGTGGGCAATGGATTGGCTCGTGGATATGGACATGGATCTAGATTAGTTTTGCCTAGCAATTCCGCCCCATTGCCAACCCTACATATCTGAGCAATAGCATGCCGATGGTCGGCACTGGTGAGCTCCTCGCAGTGGGTGCCCTCACTTCCGACACGTATCATCTCGTCGCAACCACCGTGCTAGCCCAAGAAGCGGCGCTGCCCAAGCACCACTTCCGGGTCCAGTTCGAGATACAAACGGCAAGAAAATAGATAGTCATTTTGGTGCAAAACAAGTGCAAAAAACTTGTCATATGGACGACACATGCTCCATCCTTCTAAGAGAAGGAAAGGCATGCTTCAATCATGGGAATGGAACTATGGGGCAGAAGGTGCGACAGAGGCCTTGTCGTCCCAAGAGGGAAAAGACGGGGGCATGTCGAGGCCTCTGAACCCCCGACGGGCTTTGTTAAGGTCCATGCCGACGTGGCACTCGGACGTTGTCGCGATTGGAGAGCAACTACAGCGGTGTGCCGGGATGAAGTGGGCATTTATGGAGCTTCAATGATACTAGAGGATGACGCGCGCTTTGTTGCGCCGTTTTCCAGTTATGAGTTATGCCTTCCTTTTTCATACGGGTTGTTATAACGGTGTTTCTTTGTTGGCGCAAAGATGAAAGAAGAACAGATGGCTTTTATTTGCGTTGGAGATGACGCCCACCTTCATCGCTCCGAATGTTCTTTTTCATTGTTTTGGGAGCTATTTCCTTTCTATGTAAATCACATTCTACTAAGAAGAGAATGCTTGCAACCTGACAATATAGATAAAAATAAAATATCGGGGGTACAATTTCTTCTAAACAATTCTGAATTCATGCCGATATGTTGCATGCACCAGGTAAAGATTCAGCACCCAAAGCATCAGCTGATAGCAGTCTTTGGCAATATCTTCAAAATATAATATATCAACAGATTCCTTGATAGCAACTTTATACGTCTAGTAAGACCACATATTATCAACAAGAACTGATACTGTAAATGTGAATACCGATGTAGGCATCCTGCAACTCCCCGCGTAACCGTCGCCGCCAGTCAATGTCTCGTCGCTAGAGATGACGCGTGTCGCCGTAGCCGGTCATTGACTCGTCGCTGGAGATGAAGAGACGGAGATTAAGAATAGCATAGACAATTTATCAAACACCTAGTAGACACATACGGTATGATAGAACATCCAATAAAAAATTGAAGAGCGAAAACTGAATGACGTCAAGAGGGAAGAGAAGATGGAATGTTGACCGGGACGGCGGGACAGGGCAAGAAGCAGGCGCACCTAGGCTATGTATCCCCTTGTGGTCATCCATGGATTGATGTCTGGCAATGGCGTGTCTCAATGACTGTATGGCACAACTCTGCTCCGTATCACCGGAAAAAACTGCAACCAAAAAAGATGGGGCGATCGAATGAAACAACGTCCGATCTATGTAGGCCAACTGATTAGTTCGCTGCACTTGTTAAACCCCATTTTTTGGGTTCGGTGCTTTTGATGTTTGAAACTTTGAATTGCAGTCCAAGCTAGCCAAGGCTGCTTTCCGGATCCCTCCAGCGGTGCCACCGATCAGCACCAAAGGCTGCGCACGCGCACGCATAAACACGAACCACCGCACCGAGCTAGCCTAGCCGACATGGCGTACGCCGCCTCGCCCCTGCTGCCGTCGTGAGCCATCCTGGGCAGCGTGCCGCGGGTGCTCTCGATCGGTCGCCGCCGCCGCCGCCGGGTGCGGCCAACTTCTCCCTCGCGCTGCCGGCGCCCCACCCGCGACAGCTTCCCCTCCGTCCTCGCTCCTATGTGGGCCTCCTCATCGTCCACGCCGAGCAGGGCCGCACCACATCCCCACCATCATCGACACCCCCGACCACCAGCAGTTCAGCTGGCACCATCGTTGCGGGCTATTTCGTGCTCGACGCCGCAATCGGCTCCGCCTAGCCGCTCCCCACGCCCGAGCTCATCATCCACCCGGGCGACCTCGGCCTCATAGCCTCCCCCGACGGCGAGTGCTACATGGTCTCCGAGCTCCAGCCATCCTCGGCGGCAACACGCCCATCCTCTTGCGCTTCTCCTTGCAGGACGGGGAGTGGGTCAGCAAGAGCGACGGCTACCCTCTTCGAACCCGCCCACCCAGCTCCACCTCCAACGGCGTCGTCTCCTGCTACCGGAGGCTCTGATGGGTTGACCTCTCCACATGCGACCCCTTCGTCGACGCGCCCGTACTCACCCTTGTCAAGCTCCCGGAGGACAAGGCGCTCAAGTCCAGGGAAGCCTGGGGGCTGCTCGACAAGTACCGCTGTGGCGCTGTGAGGGCGTCAGCGCCGGCAAGCGACAGTTCATCGACATGTACCGGAACCACAATAGCAACAGGGCGGCACAGATTAGCGTGAGGACGCTTGTGGCGCGCAGGCGCAGCACACGAAGACATGGACGATGCGGCGGCGGGAGCATGGATCGAACAACGGCATGCCACGCGAAAGCCGGTGCCTTCTCTCCAGCAACCACCGAAGCACCGGTGATTTGGCCTACTCCCCCGAAACGCTCTCCCTCTCTACAAACGAGACCCCACACGTTGCAACCGACTTAGAGGAAAGAAGTTTTGACCGGTCTGGTCAAAACTTTTCCCCTCAAAAAAGTTTTGACCAGACGGGAACGTCGGTTGCAGAGGATATACACGGAAGCCTTACACTGATGGGAGGGGCCCATCACGAAAAAAATTTACCAGATCGCTCCTAGGCCTCCATTTCCTGGGAGCCTAGTAACTCTAGTTATCTGTCCCTGAAACACCTTGTCTTATTTACACAAGTTACCTTGTTAAGCTTCACATGGACTTCCCACTGTCTGCTAAAAATCACCTATCGACTACCTACGGGTGGACCACCTCTCGCGACCTAGGTGACTCGGGTCGCCTCGATACTGCTATTTGGTGAGATATCAGTACCGGAATTGCCAGGTACGTCGACGGCCTCTCCGGCCGTCGGCATATGCCTGATAGCACCAAGGTGATTATTGACAGTGGCATCTCTACTGCTTTCTGGCCCGATCTTTGGATCCCACAACATAATTCAACACCAGCAACCCAATTCGGAAAGAATCATTTGGTCAACACTAGCATGGAGATCCTCACCTCATGCTGACAACACTCATCAAGCATAATTTCTTCCTGAACAACAACAGTATACCTAACATAGCTTTAGAAAAGATATTTGCGCATGAAGATGGTATGCTAATAAACAAAAGCTTTGGAAAAGAAATGCACTGAATTTAATAAATCATCGAATGAACTATGATGTACTACTCCAGAAAGTGCAAATCCATCCTACCCAACGCAAACCCATGCCAAGGCCTCCGCTCCCAACATCGCCATGATAACATTCGTGTCCATGGATATTTATTCACGGGTGGGCAATGGATTGGCTCATGGATATGGACATGGATCTAGATTAGTTATGCCTAGCAATTTTGCCCCATTGCCAACCCTACATGTCGAGAGATAGCATGCCGATGACCGGCACTGGTGAGTTCCTCGTAGAGGGTGCCCTCACTTCCGACACGTATCAGCTCCACACCATCGTCGCAACCACCATGCTAACGCAAGAAGCGGCGCTGCCCAAGCACCACTTCTGGGACATGAGCATTTAATATACAGGCATATCGTTTAGGCCAAGAACGACGCCCACTACAAGAAATATGTCAACTTGTGACCAGCACTATTGGTCACTGAATGGTCATTGTTTTCAATTTGTGACCTTTGTGTGACCAAAAACATAAGGTCAAAAGCTGACGGTCATAAACTGACTATAGCGACCTTTCTTCTGGAATGGTCGTAGACGTTTATGACCAAAATACGTCTGCTGTGGCGTTTTGGTCACTAGCAACCTCCCCAGGCCACGTAGGCATCCAACGTAGCAATCTGATGTGGCACAAGATTCAGCCCGGTCCAATTCGATTTTCTACATGGGCCTAGCCCAACAATTCGGCCTTTTCAATATTTATTTTTCCTAATTGCTAGCTACATGGCCTGGCTCAACAATTTGGCCTTTTTATTTCTAGATGCAGCCTTTTACAACGTATGATCTTTTATTTTTTGCCATTTTATTTTCCAC